AGAGAATGAGTTTCACATAATAAAATTCAGAACTAATACTTGGAAGATACAACTACTGCTGAAGCTAAATTCTTCTTCTTTATTTTTATCATTTTTTGCTCATTCAACTCTCTGATCACATTAAAAACATCCTAAAGAAAAAAAATAAACAAAACATTCCTCCAAACAAAGACTGAATGTACCTGAATTATGTTAAAATATATTAAATATAATAAATGTGTATTGCCTATTTCATGAAATTTGCCAGAGCTATTTTGGGACTTAATTCAACTCCAGCCTCCCACTGAGACATAAAGATTTTTAAAATGCACTTTTACAAGAGGAAAGGATTTGGTTTTATATAGTTTACTTCATACTCTAGGTTTTCAAAAGAACATCATAAAGTGGCTTGTTAGATCCTTGCCTTATAGGGAGTGCAGCTGATTTCTAAGGCTCCTCAATCCAGTAATGCACCATGCTGAGCTCTGACCAGTTGACTTTATTTCACAAGTTGACAATGGAATATTTCGCAGGGGCTGGGGCTACAGAGAAGGCTCAGAAAGGGCAGCCAAAAATTCACAGAAGGTGTACATGGTGTAAAGTGGGAGGTTGAGATTAAATCAGCCAGAGACTACAGGAAAATGTTGTGGATCCTTAGAAATCGAAAATATGCTAAGAGTAGTTACATGAACTGACTCAGTGCTGAGATTTCTTCTTTTGCTCTAGCCTAAGCTAAGTGGGTAGAATAGGACTCACCAGCCGTTTAGATTTAGCTATTTTATGGAATGCTCCTGTTTCTATGTGGAGCATACCTAATGCATACAATGCAGTTCTGGTTCTTTTAATGGTGTCCTTGTTGCTAAATTCATAAAACACAGATAACAGGATCATACCAATCATACCACTCTCCAGCAAAGTGTATTGTGTCATCCCCAAACAGTATTAAGTAGTATTATGATCCTCATTTTATGAATGAAAGAACAACATTTTTTTAAATAAAGGGGATAATGGATTCTCCCTATTGTGGGTTTTTTTTTTTTTTTTTTGCAGTTTTCTGTTCCCATATTATTGTATTTACTATATTATTTTATGATTTCTCAATGCAAACATGCATTTTCTAAAACAGCCCATGAACTCCCTAAGGACAGAGATCCTACCCCATTCATCTTTATATAGCCAGTACTTGAAGAAATATTAGTCAAAATTTTGAATGATTATATAAATGCATGCATTCAAGAATGAATAAATGAATCAAAATATAAATAATACAAAAGGATATTTATAGTCCTTTGAAGGATGGAGTGCATTATTTCCCCAAAGTATTTCCATTAAGTTCTAACATGATGATGTATGGAAAACAAACTCTTGGATTTTTTAACATGATAAAATTTGGAGAATCTCCATCACACTATTCTCAAAGAATATTCTTATTCAACAAACTGTCACAAAGTATAGATTTTTTTTCCACTTAGTGAAAAGTTTTTGAAATTTGTTTGACCACAGACCCTGCCCCCTCTTCTCTCTTTTCCTCATCCTTTCCATTCTTCTCTTTTTTCTTCTTTCTGTTGTTCTTGGTCTTCTCCTTTTCACAAAAGAGGAATGAATGTTTTCCCCAACCCTCAAATAATTAATGCAAAATATAAACTGAGAATCACTGAACCAGAATGCTATTTGTCCTCAGAGTCTTTTCAATACTGTCTGCAGGAGACATCTTAGAACTGGGAGAGTTCATGGAACTAGACAGAGGATGTATCACATGTTCAGAGGTTCAGCCCCCTGGCAGCTCTGCTCTGAGTCATTTGTCACGTTCTTGAGAGTTTAATATAAGCTTTTGATAGTGTGCTTTTCTCCAATGGCTGGAAGCTTCCAGAGAATGTTTAAAACAACTGAGCTGAGGGATCAGAATGCAGGTAAGACATGGTCTCTGCAGCTGCATCAAACACTAGGAATGTTTTATTTCAGAACAGAGACAGACGCAGAGCTATGTGCATTTTCCAGTCTGAGCAAAGCTGAAGAAATCACAAGTCTGTTCTCAGCACTGACTCACCGTCCCTGAAATGGTGAGGATGAAAAATCTCTGCTCAGAGTGGCAACACAATGAAATATTTCTGAACACCTTTTCCTGACAGGTTTAAAAAAGAAAAGGAAGCTAAGGAAGGTGGGGTGGCTGGCTGTGAAAGTCATGTGTGAAGGTACTGAGAGAAGTTATTTTAGTGGTGCTCGTAATAAAACTTAAATGGGGGCCTTATGGATCTGTATATTTCCTCGGATAATGTTGGGACAAATGGAAGTTTTAAAATGCATTTCCAGAGTCTGGAAAGAGAGGAAAAAGAACACCATCACAACAGGATGGAGTGGGGAGATGGGAGACCAAAAAGGACACAGTTTGCAAAATCCTTTAGGGACATTTCAGGGAGCTTGTACAATGCTCACTTCTAGCAAAGATGCTGGGAGCAGAGACAGGAAAGGAGAACCTTAAAGGAATGGGAAGGAGAGAAAAAAAGAGAGAAAGATCAACAAAGGTAAGAATTAAGAAAGAAATGAGGTAATGGGGAGGGATAGGCAAAAGGCATGGGAATATATCATTGCTAATTAATGAGACACAGTTTAATAAAAGTGCAAAAAGCCTGGGGTCAAACTGAATAGAGCTAGGAAGTCACCTCTGCCATTTAGTAGCTGTAGTTCTTAAACAAGTCATATCAATTCTATGAACACTTTTCTTCCCTTCATTTTAAAGTGGAAATAAGAATTCAACTCACTGGATTTCAAATAATGTTCATGTAGCACCATACCTGACATTTTGCTAGCATTTTAACCTTGGTAACTTTTTAAAAAAATTAGTAACATAAATACCTAGACAAAAAGAGGAGAAAAAACAATGTTCTTGGAATATTAAATTCTAAGTATATGTTAGCTTTCGTTATTATTGTCCTAGTATCATTATCAAGTATTTCAGGTAAAGATAATATTAAGTCTTCCACCTTTGCTTCTAAAAGTGCATTCTGTACATTAATCCTAATGATTGTTTATGGAAAGAAAAGAATGCATTAACTATATCATCTTTATCTACATATAAACAGTGGATTCAAGAGGCAAAGACCTTTCCTTCTAGCTCTATTAAAAGGGATCATGGTTATGATGGAAGGTTGGTAGAGAACCAAGTTCAAAGTGGGTGCTGAGTCTGCCATGGTCCAGTACAAGGCACTGAAAGGGGCCTCCGTAGAACTGGTCTTTGCCTCTCTAGGTGGGCACATCCTCCCAGGTCTGATTTTCTTTATGCACACCTAACTTTGTCCCTAAACCCAGTGGAATGAATTGTGCTACTCTGCCATAGACATTCTCATGGCTCCAATGGGTTAATCTGCTCCATTCTATGAAGATGACAGGTTAAGTTCCAGTTTCCTACGACCAAGAGAGAACTTATACCCTTTTAAGCATGAAGCAAGAAACTTCTATGGTTTAACCAACTGAGAATGGAGGACTAAGAGAAATGTTCCCAAGGAAGGAGGAGAAATCTAGAGAGAATAATGCAACAATTTTTTTTCTCTGTGTCATTGATGAGTCATCATGGGTGTTACCATATTAAGGACACCAAAACATACACATAGTGAAAAAAAGTGTTCTTAGCTTTATTTAACACAATTTTTACAGAACTTACATGCCATGGAGCTGTGTGTGATCCAGGGATAGATGGAATCTCAGGACTAAGGGGAAAGGCACAGAAATCATAAATGTAAGCAGACTGTAAAGATGAGTGATTTTACACAGTCCCATTTCAAAAGTGGAAAACTGAGACTCAGAGAAATGAAAATATCCAAGGTCAGACTAATTCTCTGAATTCCCATTTTAGGAATTGTCTTTCACACTGTGACAATTCCCAAGGGTTGCTGATGTCCATGTGTTATGTAGCTGACTACTCCATAAAACCAAACCCATTAAACCCTCAGGGATTGGCATGTTGAGTTTGGGTTTCTAAAAAAGAGTCTAAAAAGTTTAAAGTCATGAGGCTGGTATGCAACAATCCCACAACATAGAAAATGCCAGAGAACATGCTAGAATAATGCTTTTCACAAAGTCCTATAGCTCTTTTATTCACTAAAAACTTTTCATTTCTGTGAGACAAGTTGGTAGCAATTATCAATCACCAGTGACCTTTTCTCACATGGATTTAGAGATGAGCAAGTGAGAAGTTGTGGCATGTGGCTGACCTCACTACCCAAACCACCCCTTTTCCTCCTCAGCTTATCTACTGCATATCCCCCACATCCACATAATTCCATCTTCTGGCTTGTTAATTTTGTTGTGAGTTTTGATCATAAATCTTTAAATACCCTCCAAGATCAGCCCATAAAAGGCAATTAGATGTTTAATTTGCAGCCAAAGTATAGCTATTTTTGCAGGATTTGGCTGTTGAGCACGGGACATTTTGAGATATAGGATTAAGATAACAATGAAATAATCTTTACATGCTCAATTACTTCATGTGATGCTTAGGTTGGCTCCTACTACCTTCCACTGTTCTTTCTTTTGATGACTAACTTAGCTCCCAAAGATATATGTTCAGCCCCATGCAGGGAACTTTAGTTCAAAGGAATGTTACTTCAATCATTTGCAAGACTGAACATAAAGCTAGTTTCACTGGGATCCACCTCAGATGTGTCTCACTTTTAGTAATGGAGTTTCTCCTCCATTTTGTGATTGCTTATTCACCTTATATTTTGGTTTCAGTTAGTCCATCTCTTTTTTTCCCTATTTGCCTGGGTCCCAGGTTAGAAAACATGTTGGGCAGTGATTGATTATGACTCCTGTGGTTTGGATGTGGTGTCCCCCGAAAGCTCAAGTGTGAGAAAATGCAAGAAGATTTGGAGGAAAAAGTATTGGATTCTAGCCTTCACTTTTCAGTGAATTAGTCCCCTGATAGGAATTAACTGAGTGGTAACTGAAGTGGTAGGTTATGGCTGAAGGAGGTGGGAATTTGAGGAATGACACTGGGGTAAACATTTGTATCTGGCAGGTGGAAACCTCTTTCTCTGCTTCTGATCCTCATGTGAGCTGCTTCCCTCTGCCACACTCCTCTGCCATGATGTTCAGCCTCACCTTGAGCCTTTAGGAATGAAGTTTGCTATCTATGGATTGAGACTTCTGAAAAGGTGAGCCCTCAAATAAACTTTTTCTCCCCTAAAATTGTTCTGGTCAGATATTTTAGTCACAGCAGCAAAAAAACTAACCTAAAACAATGACCTTGAAACCAGACATTTGGATTTGAATTATATGCCAATACTAACTAACAGTATGACTTACCTAGACTTATTTATTTATTTTTCTTTTTTGAAAAACGTGGACGATTCTATTTACACCATAAAAATGAAAAATCACTAATGTGTCTGAAATGCCTGGTATTTAGAATGAGATTTACTTATTCTATTATTATCCTAGGTCTTTCATAATTGAAAATGTGTTTATTCTTGTATTCCTTCTATTCTTCACTATCATACCCCCCTCTATTTTTTGGTATGTGTCTACCACCTCTACGTCAATATCGCAGGTGCCCTACCATCACAGGTTCTATGGAAGTAGGTTTATTTATTCTCCATACTTCTTGAGATTTGTTTTCAATTTCCTTCCAGTGGCATAAATGTGTACTACTGATACCACTGAGTATGTCTACATTTTTAATCCTAAAACCATCTAATCTTCTCTCTGTAGCAAGCATTTGGCTACTATTCTTACACTTGATGTTTAATATGCACCAACAAAGCCATATACCATTGTCTGAGTTCACAAAAATTTTGAAATTGGTAGTCTCATAAACCCATATCAAGATTTTCAAAAGTGAATAAATACATTATCTTCCATCTATTTCCTTTAGATATTTCAATTGGTAAAATATATGTATAGTCTATAAATTCCTCAGCAATTGAATTCAACTTGATGATTCTCTCATAATCATGGTCAGGGACCAGACAACACACAAGTCATTTGAACAAGCTTTGAAATAATAAATAAGTAAAATATATGAACTTCAGTGATGATGGAAATATCAATTAGGTATCCTATCATTTATTTGCTTTTCATTTATTTCATAAATATTTGAGTACCTCATCTGAGTGAGATTCCATGATGGTTGATGAGGAGTGCATGAAAATGGGCCTCATAATTAACAAAACTTTCATTTTGGTGAAGGAGACAAGATCATATGGTTAGAAAATCCAATTGTTAAATAGAAGATGAAGAATATCCAAGATGTAAAAGTAATTAATCTGAGAATTTCAACTTAAACATTGCCATTCTGATGGAAAGAAGTCAAGGGTAAAACAAGAGAAATTAAGTCAGTAAGTCTCTTAAATCTCACAGAATTTAGATGACATGAGACACAGCAGAATTAAAAAGTTAATTATTAATTGATAACATGATAGAAGAAAGAAGAATGATTCAATATTTTGACCCAGGACCTTATGATGGAAAGACTCAATGTTTTTGTGATTGAGGTCAATATCATGAAGGCATTGCTCTCCAGAGGAAACTGATGTATAACTGGTATTGTTCTAAGCATTAGAACTATGGAAAGAAATCAGTGAAAAGAAGATGAAAAATCAGGTGAAACAGAAATGAGTTAGAGGAATCATAGAGGTAAGAGGAATAGCAGTAGTCAATAATAGTCTTCATAAGATAGAAATAAGATGCTTTGAGAAGAGCAGACAATTTTAAGAATAAAGGACAGCTCAGCAAGGTAATATAAAAAAGTAAGTCAAATTACAAACTAAATTTTGTTATTTAGGAAATAAATGTATTATTACCAAAACTTTATTCACACTGCCTGAAACCAATATTTAGATTAATGCTATGAAAGCCATCTGAGATGTGGTATAAGCTAAAAATACAAATTATCTCAATAAATATTAGGAAGAAAAGAACCATAGACTCTAAAGAAAAATCAGACATATTTTGAAAAACAAACTAGCCTTTGAAATAGATGTGAAAAGATGGACATATTGTTTTATAAACTATTTTTTGGTGTGCCTTGGGATAAAACTTCCTTGAAGACTGGAGGTTGTCATTTTACATTGGTCACTCTTCTTCTACCCTTCCACTCTTGGGAAGACCAGTCACTTATGATACTTTTTTTTTTGACATTTGTGAAATGCCATTTTATAAAAAATATTTAAAACATCTAAAATTGCTCATAATGCTATGCATAAAAAAGCAAGCTACAGAACTATACATCTGTTCCTCTATATATGAATATATGTATTATGTGTACTTTTTAAATTTTTTTCTAATTAGTTATACATGTCAGCAGAAAGCATCTTGGTTCATTGTACACAAATAGAGCTCAATGTGACTTCTTAACCATTGAACTGAGACTGTGATATTTGAGCCACTGAATATGACACTGAGCAATGTTTGAATGCAAGTATGAAATCTCTGCACATATATTTCAACAACTGGGGTCCTAAAATATTATTGGCTTTCATCCTTACCACTCTCCTTAAGCGGCTCTCCTAATGAAGAACCCCACTCTCATAAAGACTTGGGAAAGACCAAGGTTTGGGGAAATCTGGTTTCCCTGCCACACTTTAACTCTCTGCACGATTTTACATATGCAATCACATTTCTCTCCTTGATTCATTCCCTTGGCTTCTCTGCTGGAACATAATACACTCCCCATTCCTTCTATAGTCACTGACTTCTCAGTCTCCTTTGCTAACTCTCTTCATCCCTCTGATTAATTAAAATGATTGTATTTTCAGGATTACTATTAAAGCTTAATAATTTTAGTTCATGTTTAACTCAAACCATGTTTCCTCAAACTGAATATCTTGAAACAATTTTTGACTCCTCTCATTATTTCAATCCCATTTGTAATCTTCTAGTTAATTTTCTTCACCTAATGTTCAAAGAACATCCAGAATTTGGTCAGGTCTCCCCAACTCCACGGCTAGAATAATGGTCCTAGCCACGATTTCTTCTTATTTGGACTATAACCATAACCTGCTGCCTGCTTTCCTTCCTTACTCCCTAAACAGCCCACTCCAATATGTCAATTCTAAACATAGAACCCAGATTAATCCTATTAAAATGCAATTCATAAAATGTCCCTCCTCTGCTCGTATTCTTCCAACAATTGAATCCCCATCTTAAAGAATACCATGTTCTACAAGGTCTCACATGGCATGAGATTCAAAATCTCTAATCCCAGTCAATTCTCCTCCCTAGTCACAGTGCCCTCTTTGTTGTTTATTAAACATATAGTCACACATGCATTTTAATACCTTGAACTTGTTTCCTTTGTTTAATTATTCTTCTCTCAGTTATGTAACATTTACTTCCACAGTGTATTTGCTTAAATGTCACCTTCTCTTTGGGCCTACCTCTGTCACCATACTTTAAACTTTGTTCTTCACTACCTAACATTTTTATTTTCTATTTTTGTCTTATGCCATATATTACCTTCAATATACTACTGTCTTTGATTCTCTTCATACTGTGCTTTCCCAATGAAACACACATTTCATAAGTGTAAAATCTTTATGGGTTTGTTTTTTTATTGGTAGAAATTTATTTCCACTACTAAAAATTCAATATAGAAGATATATATCAGAAACTTAATAAATTTGTATTTAATTAATGAATAAATGAGTGGAATATCTTAAGGCCAGAAGAAGACTAATAATAGAAATCACCTAGAGTCACTCCTTTACTTTTTACTAATGAAGAGTCTGAACTTTTGAGAAAAAAAAAAAAACTGACCTATAACAGAAATCTACTCTTCTAATGGTTTGGGCTATTATTTTTCTTGTTCTATCTATAGAGATGAGTACAATGTCTGATTTGGAGATGTTCTCAATGTCTTTTCTTTGGATAAATGTGTCCAGTATTCTTTTCACTGCACCATATTGCCAATCTTGTAATTTGGTGGAATAGTGGGAAGTGGATGAATGGAATTTCCCAAGTTTATTTTAATTGTAATATTCTATTGCTCAGGCAATCCTAAATGTGCTAGATGTTGCTATAACCATACCTCTCTGTGATTCCCCATATACTTACGGAGTGTTAGCCCAATAGGTGCACAAACACCCTGCAAAAGGAACATATAAAAATAATCTTCCTTTAGAATAATGAAATACATAATCTCTGAATAAAATCAGAGGATTATGCATCCCTACCTATCTGCCAGAGTCTTTACTAGAGTTGATATATTGTGAGATGACAGCATGACCAGTTTCATTTAGAACTCTTCATGGGAATGGGAGTCAGTGTCAGGGTGGTTTGTGTTGACTAATATACACAAGAAATATTTTATTTTTTGAAATTCTATATTTAATAATTTTTCCACATTGTCTTCTCTAGTTTTATCTTCTATGTAAAGAATAGACACTGTATTTTTCAATATATATTTTAAAATTTCTAATATTCTTTGTGTGATGAGGTGGAACACACCAGACAAACTATCTTCATGAAGTGTATGGCCCTGAAAGGGGAAATCTTTAATGAAATAATCACACCACAATATAACTAATCATAAATTGTAGTAGATATAATAAATGAATATTGCAGGTTTTCTTAGTAATATATGATTACCGTGGGGGTGGAAGATCATGGATAAGCCGCAGTTGAGCTGGAACACCAAAGATGAACTTTATTTAGCAGGTCTTTTGGAGAGTGAGGAGAGGAAGAGGATTCCAAACAGAGGTGAACATCCGTGTTAAGGGTTTTGGGAGGTGACACCTTGGTCCACAGAGTAATGAAAGATCAGTTTTGCTGGAGTAGAGAACAAAGAGAAGACATGGCTACATATGTTGTAAGACTTTGCTTTTAGTCTTTGAGAGTAAGAAGGAAAAGTTTGGGTACTCTAAACTCAATAGCATACATGAATTAACATATCTAGGCTTTTAGGTAGAAAGTGTCATAAAGAGGATGATGTTTTAGGGACTAAAATGAGAAACTGCTTTTGTACATTCATTTTTATTATATAGTTTAAGGGCCATTCTGAGTCTGTGCATTCTAGGTCTCCCTGCCTTGGTGTTTGTTAGGATGGCCAAAACATACACACATATTTTACTTTTATTTGCCTTCTATACGATCTCAGTTTAAGCAGGTTTCTCTGCTGCTATTTTCCAGAAAGCTATTCTAGCATATCAGGGTTTTT